TTGAAGAGGGACACAAAATGATGTCACAACTTGAAGAAAATAAAGCGCTTGTGGGTAACTCCAAAACTAAGGAACTTTGTAGGATATTGCAGAAACGTCTAAAAAGCAGTGAAATAATAATAATGGCTTTATTCCAAACAGTATTTGTGGTGCAGGTATGGAATTTTCAGCGTGCATTACAGTATTGCATCTAATTGCCTCATAAATTTTATAAGAATTTAAAAATAAAAAGCAACAACAACAAAAGAAAAAAGAGAAATAGAAGAAATAAAAAAGAACAGTATTGCGTTCACATATTTAAACAATACAGCACAGGATATGATATATAAAATTAGTCTGTAATAGAAAATATGAGCAACAATATAATAGTAACAAAGAAAGGAGAACAAAAGCTAATGGGAACTATTTGTTAGAGTGCCGCAGTAAGGTGATCGTGTCATGCCTAACAGTTTTCTCATCACATAACAGCTGTGCCAGATAAGGTATTGTGGAGTTTTTATACTTGGTAGTCCTGGCATATAGCCTCCTATAGTTACTTCTAGTTCTACCAGATGAAATGCAAGGAGAGAGCTGTGTATAGAGAGGATGCTCAGGGTCTGACAATACTGTAAGCAGCTTGGAACATAAGGGTATAATATACAGTGATCCCCAGGTTATAAGTGAACTCCTCAGTGAGTGGTTTTACAATGACACCAGAGTGCACCAGACCCAAAATTTCCAAATGACCTGCAAAAGTAACCACAAATTAAGCGAAATAGACTTTAATATACAAAATATAGACTCAGCGATTAGGACATTGAAGTCTAATGGTAGTACTGGAACAGACGACATACCATCTGTCATATACAAAAATGGTAGCACGGAAATGGTAGTCTTGTTACTTAGAATATTTACTCTCTCGTTGGAAACTGGAACTTATCCTGAAGTGAGGAAAACCACATACATATTACCTAAGCACAAAGCAGGGGCCGAAACCAGTGCATGCAACTATACACCTATCAATATAACACCGGTAATATCACGAATAATGGAGAAAGTGGTTAAAGACCAAGTGTCAGACAGCTTACCAGAACATGAACTAATCAATCCATCACAACACGGATTTCTCAAAAAGAGATCATGTGTGACCTGTCACATAGACTTTTTCAACGAAGTTACACGAAGTAGGGACAACAGAGAACTAGTAATTGTACTATATTTCGATATAACAAAAGCCTTTGACAGAGTTCCCCATAATCTGCTAGTCAGCAGGTTATGCTCACTGGGGATGTGTGTCCGTCTCCTGAGCTGGATTAAATCATTTCTCTGTGACCGAAGTCAGACAACGAAAGTTGGCTCGATAATCTCAAGGCCTAAACCAGTAAGTAGTGGTGTAATCCTATTCATAATATATACATATTCACATTCACAGATATATATATCTGTGAATGCTTTAGTGAAGGTAAACCAATACTATATGCAGATGACTTAAAAGTGACCTATAAATGCAAGAACACAGATCTTGGAATAAGAGTAAACGCCATGCAGCTAGAATTAGAAAAAATGGATAGATGGTGTGACACCTGGCAACTCCAGTTTAATGTCGAAAAATGAGGCTGGCTCTGCATAGGTTGCAACAATTTAGAACTTGACCTGACAATTCAAGGCCATGCACTTCTACGACTGGAATCTGTACTGGACCTAGGGCTGCAATATTCACATGACTCATCATTTTATAATAATAATAATAATTTATATTTTCATATAAACATAAAATTACATTTACATGAAAATGCATGCCATTTTTACAGGCACGATCAACCAAGCGCGGGAAAACGGCCGGAGCGCTACGTTTGGCTCGTGGAATTTGGATTCTTTTTTATTTCTTCTAGCGGTCCTCAGGTGCTGGAAACAAGTCTATTCTAATCCTCAGCGTACTGCTATACCATATTCTGGAAAAAATTTCGACAATTCAGCTCCTACATCGCTCCGCCAAAATCTGGGCCATTGCATGGCATCTCTAATTTTCAAAATCATATTCGCAGCTGTATTTAACCATCCAAATTACCAATGTTCCATTCTTTCTACTACTATTTAACAATTGCCAACTTTTCTGGGCTTAAAAATCATTATTAATCGAGAACGAGTGGCAACCATACTCACACACACCTAGTCCTCAATAATTCCTAGTTCTACTCAAAATTTTGGTAAGTCTAGAACTTCCGAATAACTTCCATAGTTACGTTTATTGATTCCAATGCTTTGGTCATAAAATTGTTTATGTCTTTTGTTAATTCTGGAAATTCTGCAAGTTTTCTGTTTACTAGGTTTGAGTTTTGTGGTTATTCGTTAATAATTTTTTCAATTCGAATCATTTGGTTATAAATATGTCTTCCATGAGAATCCCCTGGCGATTCTGCACAGTTTCGTACTAAATCTGCCTGTTCTATATTTTTCAATAAATTTTCCAGCTTGAAGTTTGTAGTTCCCTAAACCGGCCCTAAACCAAGCTTTTGCATTTTCTTTGTCAATTTTTTCTCTCGACATTTATAACTTGTCATTCTTGCCCACGTTTGTCAATCTCGACGAGCTGATTCTCGTCGTGCACTTTTTAACTTCATTTGTCGATCCTTTCAAAATTTTCCCATCTTTTTGCTGTAAATTCAACTGAAATTCAGGTTTTTCGTGTAGATTTTTTTCTGTGAATATTTTAAAGCCACGACTCTTTGTTCATGAGAATCCCCTTGCGATTCTGCACATTTTAGTTCTTTACATGTTTGTTCCATCTTTCTTAATAAAATTTTAAGCTCCAAATTGTAAAAGCTTAGCTTTTGACGAATTCGAAATTTCCGCCTTTTCAATTATCGTTGAAGCCAAGCTACTAATAAGGCCCTCTGATTGACCGCTTTTCATTTCACTTGAAATAATTCTTCGCAACTTTACTTTTTCCTGTACAACTTTGTCAGCTTCGACTTTTTGGGGATTCTGACTTCATTCACCCCCCTCCGACGATAGCCCCGGAGTCATTTTTCAAGGCGCATCTTTTGCAGCCATTTCTGTTGTTATACCACTTTCGGTTGCTGAACTGCTGAGTAACCCTCCCGGTTACCACCCAAAATAGCAGTTTACACCCCCTTGTAGTTTTCATAAGTCTCATCCAACATAAAACAAGTTTTGATTGCAAATGGTTATCCTGAAAAGCTACTTGATAATATTATCAATAAAAAGGAGCATAAGGGAAAACCAAAAATTGAAAAATCCTGGCTATCCACGATAGCCATCCCATACCGAAAGGACACAGCTGAACAACTTCAAAGATTATTTGCTTCATATAATATTAAAGTCTATGTCAAACCTTCTAATTCTCTAGAGAAGGCGTTGGTACATGTCAAAGATATAGTTCCCAGAATGTCACAAAGTAATTGTGTCTACAAGATAAAGTGTTCCGAATGTGATGCATGCTATATAGGGGAGAGCAGTAGGCAGATGAAGGTCAGAGTGAATGAACATAGACTATGCACGAAACGTCCACCTAGAAATGAAGTAGAACTAAAAAGTCTAGAAAAAAGATCGGCTATAGCAATGCATGCTATAGACAGCGGACATAAGATTGATTTCGACAATGTCGAAATTCTTGGAAGAGGATTTCATTCACATAAAGAAAGATTGACTTCTGAAGCCTTGCACATCTTAACCACATCGAATGCAGTGAATAGGAAGGATGGGATAGACTTATCACCTATATGGCAAACTCTTATGAAGCAAGACAAATGAAAAAATCAATCAGCACTCTATGAGCCTCCATGACCTTTTAAAACATATAGGATCATGTTTATCATATATGAATTCACGTATTTTCCATATGACAAATAACATACATACACACACACACACAAAACTAATCTATACAAATTAACTATACAAGAGTGAACACAACAACAACTTGACATTAGTCATTACAAAAATATGTGATGACTGCTTACATATTTTCTATTGGTAAAAATGTCCATAGACAAATGACCTTCAAATAAACTGACTTTAATGTATGTAAAATTTTTGACTATATATTTTGATGATTAATAAAAATCCGAATAAATCTGCTGAAGAAGCTGTGGCTTACACAGCGAAACGTTCAGAAAAATCTTGTTTTGATTTTCTTAACACGCTGGGATTAATTTAAATAATTTATAATGAATCAATCTGACTCGGCGCTCAAATTATTTCAGGAAGTTCGTAACACCTACGGCCTGGAAACCTATAATCTCATTCAATATTTTGTTAATTTTACCTATTTCGTGTATAACTTTGTTAGCTTCGACTTTTTGGGGATTCTGACTTCATTCAACCCCCCTTGACGACAACCCCGGAGTCATTTTTCAAGGCGCATCTTTTGCAGCCATTTCTGTTGTCGTATCGCTTTCCGTTGTGGTTGTTTTCTTCTATGTCTGTGTTGTTTAAAAGCTTCCCGCGTTCTTTCCGCATCGACGGCACGTACTCTTGTCGTGGCGTCATCTATCTGTTCTACCTTTTATCTTCCAATCAAAGTCACGCCTGAGGGGCCTATGAACGGCACGTGACACAACTGGTGCTTCGGTACTAGCTGTCCCTCAATACACGAGTTTGCAAATATGCACTCTCCTGTCACGTCAGCAATGTCATCAAACATTCCAACAACCACTGCTCGCGCAATGGTAGAAGCTGACAACGTCCGCCCAACAAATACCTTCCCTTCTCCAACCTACTCCTCATCCTATCCCCTTATTCTTCCTTCAAATTCAAATGTTCAATCAGCCGACAATCTCCTACACAACAGTTCAAATGCAGAATCCATCACTTCTTTGTGTTCAAGGTCTACACACTCTATCAGAACATCAAGATTCATCTGTGTATATCGTCCACGTGAGTTCCCAACCACCAGAGGGCTCACACAACACCTACGACATGCCCACCCAAATGAATACAACGAAATTCTGTTAGGACGTATTAACAATGAACGTAGAAATCTTCGCAATTGGACTACCATGGAAGAATTGGCTCTGATCACTCACGCCGATGCCAATGCCGAACGGTTCTCGTCCAAGATACTTCTTTGTAATTATCTCAGTGAGCTCTTCCCAAACCGTTCTACCGAGGCGATAAAACGACGCCTGCAGCGCCTAGGATGGCAAGATATGCTTCCATCTTCATCCTCATGTCTCTCGTCGTCAACAGAACAGTCTTCAATGAGTCCCAGCACCACCACCACTTCAGAGTCGCGTAGCAGACCTAATACAAGATTCTGGCTGCCTCGAGAAGACGCTCGACTTACTCTCACAGCCTCTTGCCTCGACTCTCAACTGCTACGTCCCTTTCAATTCTACGCAGCGTTGCATGAAGTCCTCCAAAATCGTTCAAGAGACGCCATCAGTAGACGACTGACCACACTTGGATGGTCACGAATGTATGAACCAAATCTTCCGGTTATCGTCCTAGATCCCTCCCTTGCAAACTCCTTGTCTGTCCAAGTTAACAACGAGGCTCCAGAGCAGCTTGCAAACCAACAGCCCTCACCTTCATCCCTCCTCTTGTCTTCTGATTCGGAATTGCCTTCAAATTCCCCATCTTCTAACCATCCTCGTGCTTTACTTTCACAAAACTTATCAATGTTCTCTGAGGAGGAAATTATAGACGCCTCCTCAGTGAATATTGATAAGTTTTGTGAAAGTAAAGCACGAGGATGGTTAGAAGATGGGGAATTTGAAGGCAATTCCGAATCAGAAGACAAGAGGAGGGATGAAGGTGAGGGCTGTTGGTTTGCAAGCTGCTCTGGAGCCTCGTTGTTAACTTGGACAGACAAGGAGTTTGCAAGGGAGGGATCTAGGACGATAACCGGAAGATTTGGTTCATACATTCGTGACCATCCAAGTGTGGTCAGTCGTCTACTGATGGCGTCTCTTGAACGATTTTGGAGGACTTCATGCAACGCTGCGTAGAATTGAAAGGGACGTAGCAGTTGAGATTCGAGGCGGTTGTTCGGATGCGTTTGCACCCCAGCAGCTCTAAGAGCTTCTTGAAGTGGGTCGATTCAAACTGCTGTCGATGGTCTGTAGTCACCGAAGATGGGCATCCGAATTGAGCTACCCAGCTTTCCATGAACACTCGGCAAATGGTTTCCGCGGTCGTGTCAGCGATGGGAATAGCTTCTGGCCAACGAGTGAACCGGCCGACACATGTCAACAAGTAACAGTGGCCATTTGATGGTGGTAGAGGACCCACTATATCTAGATGTACGTGGCTAAAGCGAGCATCGGGTGTGGAGAAGGAACCCCCTGGAGTGATGTTGTGTTTGTGGACTTTAGCTCGTTGACGCGGTACACAGCCACGTGCCCAGATACGCACGCCGCGATTTATACCAGGCCAGACAAATCTAGCTGACACTAGTTTGTCCGTTGCCCGGATACCTGGGTGGCAAAGGTTGTGAAGGCTATCGAATACCGTACGGCGCAATGAAGGTGGAACGATGGGTCTCGGGGTACCGGTGGACAGATCGCAGAGGATGGTACCCTCGCTATTAACAAGCGGTATACGCTTGATACGCAAGGAGGTATTTAACGAGAGCTTATCGAGATCTAACTCTGTAAGCTGACGTTGCGCCATTTGTTTCAGGTCAATGGTTGGCGGCGCCGACATGGTACATATCCTAGACAAGGCGTCTGCCACAGCATTGTCAACCCCCGAAATATGTCGAATATCCGAAGTGAATTGTGAGATGTAGTCCAAGTGACGCAATTCGCGTGGAGAATATCTATCTGTAGTAGTGTGGAGGGCATACGTCAGGGGCTTGTGATCGGTAAATACTGTGAATTTCCGACCTTCGACCAAGTGGCGAAAATGTTTGATAGCCGCGTATATGGCGAGGAGTTCTCTGCCAAAGGTGCTATACCTCACTTCAGCGGCGGACAACTTCCGAGAGAAAAAGGCGACTGGTATCCATGAAGTATGTACCAGTTGCTGTAGAACAGCTCCAATGGCTGTGTTAGATGCATCAACTGAGATGCTAAGCGGAAGATGGACGTCTAGGTGAACTAGCATGGTGGCGTCTGCAATTGCCGACTTAATATTCTGGAACGCTTCTCGAGCCTCTGGTGTCATGCTGAACGTTTCGCTCTTACTCTTTAGTAGGTCTGTGAGTGCCTGTAAAATATGTGCACATTGAGGAACAAACCGTCGGTAATAACTCACCATGCCTAGAAATGTGAGCAAAGATTTTATTGATGTAGGTTCCGGGAAGTCGCGTATTGCCTGCACCTTCTCAGGTAGCGGGCGAATTCCCTGTTCATTAATGACATGTCCCAGGAAGGTCAATGAATGGACGCCAATCTGGCATTTAGACATGTTAAGTGTCAAACCATGGGTTGTTAACCGCTCAAAAACCATCTGTAAATGCGTACGGTGGGTAGCTTCATCTGGGCTAGCCACGAGAATATCGTCGAGATAAGCATATGCGCAATCCAATCCGCGCAAAACATCGTGAATAAATCGCTGGAATGTTTGTGCGGCGTTGCGGAGACCGAACGGCATTCGAAGGAATTCGAAAAGATCAAAAGGGGTGATCACTGCCGTTTTAGGAATATCGTCTGGATGAACTGGAATCTGATGATAGGCTCTGGTTAAGTCCAGTTTGCTGAATACCGTGGCACCCTTTAGTGACGACGTAAGGTCATGTATATGTGGTACGGGGTAGCGATCTGGCACGGTCTGTGCGTCAAGCCTGCGGTAGTCATCACAAGGCCTCCAATCTATCCCGTTATTCTTTGGCATCACATGCAAAGGGGAAGACCACGGGCTGCTGGATGGACGGATTATCCCCATGTCTAACATATGTTCGAATTCAGCCTTCACGGCTTGTAGTTTTTCTGGGGACAATCGCCGTGGCTTTGCGAATACCGGTGGACCAGTTGTCACGATATGATGAGTGACAGTAGAAGTCACACAAGGAAGTTTAGAAACCGGTTTGAACAGATTGGCAAAGGACTGAAGGACTTCAGCGTAAGGGCCGTTAGAGGCAGGGGTTGAATATACTGGGCTTAATGCAGGTGTGTGCGTCACAACACCGGAGATCGAAAGGTTTGTAGCTGAATCGATCAGTTTGTGTTTGCCAGTATCAACCAGTAGCTGATAGTGTTGCATGAGATCCATGCCAATAATACCGGTAGTTACATCTGCCACAAGGAAGACCCAGCGAAATGACCTACGTAGGCCTATGTTAAGATCTAGGAACCTTTTGCCGTACGTTGTGATTGGCGAACCGTTTGCTGCACGAAGCTGTAAGGAAAGTGGCTTCTGGCGCTCTTCAGATGTTGGTGGAATCACGCTAACTTCCGCCCCAGTGTCAACCAGGAAGCGTGTCCCAGTGTTACGGTCAGTAACATAGAAGAGGCGACATGGAAGTGGTTCGCCAGCGACGTTAGTCGCCAATACGTGCTGGCTTACTGGTTTTCCGATTGCTGGACATCAAAGGTGCACGGGCGAGTGCACTTTTGGGCCTTGTCACCATAACGCCGGTGATATCAGCACACTCCAGGTTGGGAATTTTGAGACCTACGACGCCTGCTGCCAGCTGGTGAAGAAGATCTACCACGAGTCGAGCTGGTGCGGCTATTTGAACGACCTCTAGGTCTCATATCGAGTCTTAACTTACATATCTCCTCGTATAGCTTAGTTATGTGGGCCACCACATCAACGTTTGATGACCCCTCGGCAGAGGAGTTCTTAGTCTGCGTGGGACTAGCGGTAACGGCAGCCGAAATGTTCGTGTTGGACGTAGTAGTCTCAACTACTCTATCGGCTGCTTCAGCTAGTTCAGATAAGGGGGAATGGTTGATTGGAGCTAAAATGGTCTGAATCGCCTGTGGTAATCGTTGTAACCACAGCTGTTTTAGGAAGGCGTCGTCTATTTTGAAGTCAGCCACCAACAGTTGAGTGGGCTTTCTATCACCCAGCTGAACATCTCTGAATAATTCCTGCACTTTCTGTTGGTCGGTAAGTACAACGCGCTTAATTAGCGCCTGCTTGAGACGCTCGTACAAGCCTGGGGATCGGTCCGCGAGGACATCAGATACTTCTTCCATGACGTTCTCAGGAAGACTTACGATAACTAGGTTCACCTTAGTCTCTTGTGAGTGTATATTTCGTAGGGCGAACATAGCTTCAATGTGGTCCAACCATGGAACAGGATGATGAGTCCAGAAGGTGGGGAGTTGCAAGGTGATAGCCATTTCTGAGGCGGAACTGCTGTCAGTCATTCTGCACACGGGACGGTATATTAATAAAATAATAACAAATATGATAACAAAAAAATACGAGTAAAAACAAGGCAAGTAAAATTTTATAACTCTGTGTGACAAACAAATTGCCAATATGAAAAAGAACTATTTACAATTTAGGCTACTAAGTAGGCAAACGGTGAAAACTCGGGCTCACCACTGGTAAGAGTTTTACTTAGTATTAACTTCGACCTAAAAGTAACCACTCTTACAAAACTTCTTCACCGCTTATGGCCTTAATAGTACTCTGCCTAACGTGCAAGTACTAACGGACGGAATCAAGGTTAAAAGACTTGAGATGCCAAGTGTGACTGGAACAGAATTGCATTTACACAATTGAGATAGAATTTAATAAGAAATAAGAGGTACACACTTATCTGCAGGTGAGACGGTGGTCAGCTCGGAGAGTGTACTGGATGAAAGTACAGCGAGAGAGCGGAACCGAAACCGTACAGGAGGTTCAGGAATACAAAGTGGAAGTTGGGTTTTGGGGTCAGACTGAGTTCATTCAAACAAAAGTTGGAAGGTACAATGTACACTACGCGCCAACGACCATCTGAGATTACGGCCACCTCCATTGAGGTAAGGCATATGTGCGTTTTTCACAAGTAGTGCCTGTTTCCTGCTCATAAAGTCGGTCCAGCACTGATTGCTGAAGGCTGCAAATCTCTTGAGTGCACCTTGTCAGTGCATTCGCCTAAGTAAAAAGACCTAAAGCATCATTGTCCTATACTATTTAGGTTCGACAGCTGCATAATAGGTGAACGATTTAAGAAGGCCGAAGATCTTCTGGCTACTGCCACTAAATTCAAGAATATTAAAGTAGCCTCGGAAACACCTAATCAAAGGCAAGCAACCAAGAACTCCTTCGATACAAAGTTGACCACACTGAAAAATACATCTGGTATCAGTGCTAAAGTGTCGACGGACACTGAGGCACAGCAAGTCACGTGTATGGTGTTGGGAGAAAAAACGGCAAGTAAAAGCGACCCGAAACTCAGTAAGAGCAGTGTCACTGGGTGCAATCTTAAAGTACATGAGAGCACATCTGGAAAACCTGCTGACCTACATGAGGTTGACATTGACGCACAAACTATGGCTGATCAGAAACCGCTGGCAGACGACACTCAATCTGGATCCATGCCAGAGAATCCCGCAGTAGAAACTGCAAGAAAGAACACAAAGCCCGGAATCCCACTCCAGACTTCGACATACCTCCCTCGTAATAAGTCTAATAAGCAGCATGTCAGTCTAAAAAATGACAATGCATGGGTAACAAAGCATATTCCCAAAAACGTCATGCAGCACGTGAGTAAGAATACCCCTTCCCGAACTGGGAGCAACATGCTTAGCAACGCATATAACTTGGGAATGCAACGTAGAATGGATCCTCAGGATATATGGAGCACTAAACGGAACTCATATAGGCAGCATATTGATGAATATTCTTGTCCAAATTCTCGCACTATCTATGTTAAACCTCATCAACATAATGAGCATAGATCGACACTTGATCCCCTCAATAACTTCCCCCACACACGTGATGTGAGCCAACGTGCATACGATTATGAAAGCCCCATGAGGTGCAACTAACAAGGTGATCTTAACACAGGGTACCTATGTCCAGCAAACTGCAAGGCAAACTATATATCACCAGTAAATGAATG